CCCCAGGGGGGATGGTCACGCCGCAATCCCTTCTCCTCCATTCTCCTCTCGGGATCTTGGGCACGCACGCACACGCGCCCGGCGTGAGTTTTAAGCCACCGGGTCCGGGACACGAACCACGGTCGACTACGTGGGAGTCCAGCGACATAGCCATTACGCTAACTGCTGGTTCCCTGTTTTTACTTTTGTTTTGGAGAGGTTTTTGATATAGGGCGCATGTGCTCACCAGAAAAACAGACAGAAAGCGAAAAATCACCCCCCCAGGGGCGATGGCCACACCGCAGTCCCTTCTCCTCCATTTTCCTCTCAGGATCTTGGGCACACATGCACACACGCTCAGCGTGAGTTTAAGCCACTGGGTCTGGGACTCGAACCTCAGTCGACTGCATGGGAGTCCAGCGACATAGCCATTATGCCACCTGCTGGCCTTCCATTTGATGTTTTGAAACAGCATCACTGGGGTGAATGACGGCTGTGAAGGCAGGCCTCGCAGTCATAGCCTCACCGTCTTTCATGTCTCTGGCCGTGACTGGCAGTAGGACAACCGTGTCACCAGGAATGGCTTGCCTTCGAGGCAGCATTAGCAAAGTGGTGACATTCCAAGGGCCAGGGTGCCCCTTGCAAGTAGCAGTGTTGAACCGGCCTGCTGGGCGGCAGGCAGCTCTCCTGCGGCTATCAGGCACCCACAGGAGGCAGCACGTCCTCAGCCAGGCGTAGGGGCACCTGCAGACCTCGGAGCTGTGGTTTGAGCGGAGCTGGGAGCAGGCTGCGGGGTCAGTTGTAAGGACCGTCTTCCTGCATCCTACGGTCAGGGGGGCTCAGGTGGGTGTGGAGGGGGGGACAGGGCAGGCACACCGCAGGAAGTGGGGACTGGCCCGAGCCAGCACGTGCAGAGGCCAGGGCATGGGGACACTTGGACGAGGGACATGGCCATGGCCGGCCAGAGTGGGTGCAGCCTGGGGGCTAGTGATGGGTCCCTGCGATCCAGGAGAGGGCCCAGCTCTAATACCAGTGTCTGCTGCCAAGCCTGGTGTTTGCTGAAGTTCCGCAAGTCCACACCCCATCGCCGCGCCGCACCAGTCGTGGCGATTGTTCGGCACTTCCCGTGGCCGGCCTGGCCCAAGGTGGCTGTGGGTGGCTGCCCTCCCCCGAGGAGCCATCCTCTGACGCCTCCTGTCGTCCACAGCCGCCAACACAGAGCATGAGCCTGGGCCCCAGCGCGCTGGCTCAGAGCAGCACCGGCCAGGGCCTGCACTCCCAGGGCAGCCTCAGCGACACCATCAGCACAGGCCTACCCCCAGCCTCCCTCATGCAGGGCCAGATCGGCAACGGTGAGTGGGCAGGGTGCCCCTACGGTCGGTCACCACCACGGGAACCTCCAAGCTCACGGTGCTGGGTTGGGGTGGCCTCTTTCCTCCTGAGGCCCTGTGCCCGCGGGTTGAGACGTGGATGGCAGGCCCTTGCTCCACACACCCTCCAGCTGTGCACACAGTCCCTGCAGGTTGTCAAGGGAGACGAGGTGCCCCATCTTTGCGTTGAGACTGAGCGGCCCCTGAGATGGGTACTGATCACAGGACAGCGAGCGTCTGCAGCTCGCCCGTGCGTGGTGGCACGTGGGTGATTCTCCGTGGTCACTCGGTCACTCACCACACTCATAGTGCTGCAGACCGTGGGCCTGCCTCCCTAGCAGAGCTGGAGGGAAGCGTGATCAGCTCCTCCTGCAGCGGGGCTGCTCCCCCTGCAGCGCGGCGGCCCCGGCACCTGACCCCCTGCAGCGCGGCGGCCCCGGCACCTGACCCCCACCCCCGCAGGTCCGAACCACGTGGCCATGCAGCAGACGGCGCCCAGTACGCTCCCCC